TAATCAAAATAATCAAATTGATCACCTTTGGTAATCATTTTAGCGAACCTTTTATAGTAACAAATCTATACTTATACTTTTTATTTTTTATAACTAATTATCTAATTAAAAATAATATAACGTCTACACGAGCAAAGCGCACTGATTTAGGTAGTTACCGGCGGAGTCAGGCGAGCGACGCCATATTGCCAGCCGTGCCGAGCGCGCCCGACGTTAGCCGAGCGCGACCCGAAGGTACGATGTTGTAAGTTTCGGCGCGGCCGAAAGGTTCGGCCGTTTTTGGCCGAAACCGAAACTCGGGCCGAAACTTGATTTTTTGGCCGAAACTGGCCGAAACCGAAACCGAAATTTCGGTCGGACACTAATAATTAATTAGATTGTAGCGTCATCTAAATTCTTCTGAACTGTAATAATCAAAAGGATTTTGGAAATCTCGTATCACTTTTCAGGTACTTATTCTGTTTTGCTCATTGATATATACAGGGTGGCCGGGGAGTTGACGTTCAAAAGTAAAATTTAGATACTTTATGATGAGGAGTATCCAAATCACCCCCATGTATGTTCTACGATTTTGCGTACTTTGAAGGTCAATTACAGAAAATAAACCCCCATTAACCCTATCTTTATGTGACCTTGTTTTAAAGTTTAATGTTTCAGAAAGTTTCTAAAAGCACTATGAACTTCAAATCCCCCCATTTACATTTTTTTTGATACTTTGAAAATTTGTGTGTACTGAGCTCAAATCGTAATTTTGAACTTTCGAATAAATTCTAAGTGAATTCTGCAATGCCTAGATAAACCATAAGTTTTAGGATGATAGGTTAGACTATGTTAGTCAGTTATTAAAAAAACTGAACCAGAAACGTCCAACAGAATGAGAAAAAAATCAAAAACCGATGTTAGATGTAAATTACGAAAAAAACTTTAAAAAAATTATAACTCGAAAAGTACGCAAAATCGTAGAACATACATGGGGGTGATTTGGATACTCCTCATCATAAAGTATCTAAATTTTACTTTTGAACGTCAACCCCCGGCCACCGTGTATATCAAATTCTTCTTCACTACTGTAATCCATTGTAAAAGAACGCCATAATTTTCGAATACAGCCGCAAACAAAGAAAAAACAAAACCTCGAACAGCAAATAACAGTCAACGCAAATAACCTAAAATTTTTGACGAAGTCAAAAAGAAAAGAACAATATTGCACTATGCGTTGCGTAATACATTATACAGCTAGCAGGCTACCTTGTCTGTGCGTTCATTATAAGGGACGCATACACCCATATTCTTAATCGCGTCCTCAAACGTTCCTCGACTCAAACTCATTCGAGGGCTCCTTAAGGAGTTCCTCCAAATAACCTCGAAAATGGTATTCTAGTTGGTATCTTGAACAAACTTGAGAATTCCTCCACTGAGAATTCCTCAACATTGTGACGTCATCATTTGGAGGATTTTATTTCTATAATGGTTAACAGAGGAAATATTACTTGTATGACTGTATCTTTTCTAAACCGAAATCTTCTTTGAAACGAATCATTGTCGTAAACCTTAAAAGGATTTGCGGCATCACGTAAATACCGTCGCGCCGGAAAATTATATGGTTAATCATCGTGTGTGTTACTGAATAAATAAATCGTATACGTAATACATAAAATCCACAAATTCGTCAATAATCTCAAAATCAGGAATAAAACTTGAAAACACCTTAAACACCACTCGAGGAAGCCTTAAGGTACGTCGAGAGCTACCTCGACCTCCACTCGAGTGAGGAATATCTCAAGTGAAGGATATTTTTGTTGTCTAAGCATACGAATTTCCTCCAATGAGGTTGAGTCGAGTGGAAAAAATCTCGAGGAAACGACTAAGAATATGGGTGATAGTGCCGGTCGCCACTCAAGTATTGTCTATGAATAGGTTTTTCGGACCCTGTGCGTTAACGCACCCTGTGAGACCTCATAGTAATGTTTATGAATACGGGTGATAGGCCCGCCCCACGTGGATCGGGCGGCGGAGCCCGCCTAGCGGGTGACGGTGCACGCTCGATTGACTGTCTTCTGTGCTCTCGTCTGCGTTCTCTTTTAACAAGGTTGTATTATCAACATAAAATATCAATTATACAGTTTGTCTATAAAGTCATGACATGAATGTTTGAGGAACTAACATTATTCATGTGTCTGGCAACACCAAACTTATGTACATCAGCTGTCATCGAGTTTCAGTTGTGGAACAGTTTTCCTTTTGTATTTTTTATTGTTTGGATTAAACTGTAATAAATTATGACGAAACTACGCAGAAAGGTATAAAAATGAGTAAAGTAAATCGGAGTGGCACGCGCGAAGTGATTTTTAAAGTTTTCCAGCGATGTTTTGAAGAATACCAAGCTTGATGAATTTTGTGGGATTTGGATGATGTTTATGGGCGGACAGCATCTATGACGGGTATGTAATCGTGTAACTATTTGTTTGTAATCTGCCTGAAGTTACAAATTTACTCAATTTACGCTTTTGAGACCAAAAAAGTCATTGTTTACATTGCACATTTTTAGGTAAGATTGACATTGTAAATAGGTAATATTGTAGTACAATCATTTCTTTTGATACGTTTTTATGGTTCAACTCGGTCAGGTTTTCTACCAATTTTGAATTAATTGCTTCATGTCAATAAGTTATTGTTTCTATTCCTTTACATATTTTTTTACTTTTTTTCAGGAAAATCAGAGAGTACGGTTAAGCGGATACTCAACGAAGGTTTTAAGAATGATGGAAAGTTTGAAACTCCTGGGAAAACGGGCAAGGCCGACCAAAGAAAGAAATGGTCATATAAAGAACCATGGCCAGATACTTTTAGTGAAGATACCTATCACTAATTTTACTAACTGCACATTTACAAATTGTTTCTCTAAATAAACTTTTTATATACTATAAAATGATTTTTAGTATTATTTTCTTAACAAGTGTGTTAAAACGTCGTATGATACTTGTGTGTATTGACGATTACCTAACGGCTCTAGTCTCAATGGCACTTCAGCGGTAATCACCAACATTACACACTTGTACACTATAAAGTACTATTTTATCTATAATAATTTTATTCTGATTCAATTAAATATGCTTGGTTAAACTTTTTATAAGCATAAGTACACACTGCCGGATTTAGGGGAGGGCAACCGGGGCGAAAGCCCCGGGGCCCCCACAATAGAGACTTCTGAAAAAAAATCTTTCAAATTCCAACTAGTAAACATCTTTTCCTTTTGATATTTTTTTTTGCTCTTTTAGCTTTACCCAGGGCCGAATTTAAGGCAGGGCAGGTGTGGCTGTGGCAAGAAATAACATTTCGATGGGTCAATAAGCATACAAATCCTAAGTGGCCCGGGGCCTCCACAATCCTAAATCCGGCCCTGTAGGTACATACTATATATGAAACAGAAACAAAATACGACTGTATAGTGTCTCTTAATTACCTATTTTACTTGAATGAACTGCTAGTATCAAAATCATTTTGGTCCGACTGTATAGGGTTGCTACATGCATACTAAAGGCGTCATCATTTAATGTCACGACTTTATAGACAAACTGTAGACTGTTACACGGACCCGCGACGGTGCACGCTCGATTGACTGTCTTCTGTGCTCTCGTCTGCGGTGTGCACGCCCTCAATTGGTGTTGTTTGGCAGAATTGCCATTTTTCCATGCTTTGACGACTGAGTACTGAACCACCAGGATTTAGCATGAACTTTGGTAGATTCGTAATCGCGTCGTCATCGTCGAATTTCGTATGGAAAGAGTCATTTTGTTCCAACGAAGCGATACGATAACGGAGCTGTCGAAGTTCGCTTGGGCCTCTGCTCTCACCTCTGAACTGGAGCACCACACTACCAGCTCCTTCGTCTTTATCATATACAAGGCGAGCGGTTCGACTTATCGATGATCCCGAGTTCACTGACGCGTCAAAGCCTCTAAGCTTGCACAGATAAACGTTACGTTTGTGTGTTAAACCATATATACCATCTATCTTTCAAATTTAGAGTAGGTATTCAATTTTCCATTAAAATATGCAATACACGTATGGTTTATGTATGATAGTCTGGGCCTGGTGACCTGTTAGTACAGGTAGCTATTCGTAGTTGCCTTTTACGGGCACCAGTCTCCCACATAATAGGTTTATGTATTTGTATTGATTAAGTTAGTTACCTATTGTACTGTTACACCTTTTGTGAGGAGAAAATAAATGGTATGGTATATTATATTATTATACAAGAAGAGACTCCATCTCCCGAGGAATTATTCAATCTGATGCCAGATGCCAAGTTCCTTCACCGCACTACACGCTGCAGAGGTTTCACCATTACCATCTGGACGCTTGGCGTTCTAGCACCATGCGCATAAAACAACACGGGAGTATTAAATTAAATTAATTAAGTAGCCATATCGACGTAATACTATTCAAATCATAGTGCCATTATTGCGCGGGGGGAGGGGATGCGCACAAATGCAACTACACAAACTGTAATTACGACACACATATAGGTATATAATGACGCAATACACCCCCAAATCCTGCACACATGAATCTTTTTTATGCCCAATTCGACAGAGGGGAATGCTGTGTATGCCTACAGGCCGCGGCCCAGGCCGCGTCGACTGTGTTGCTCTATGACCATACGGTGTATTAAAACAACAAATACACTGAAAACGCCAATTTATGATGTACTTACTTTGTACTTGTACCTACGTTGTGACGAAAATAATTTTAAATGATCTTACAGAACCCAAGTAGAGCGATTGGCCAGATCTTTTATGTCTGTAAAAAGCGTTTAGCCTGCCCCGATAGTAGTACGATGATGATAAGTGAAAACCCGACCCGCGCCCTTCGTCCTTAGATGTTTTCATATACATCTATATTCTACGTTCAATTCTGGATCGTGGAACGAAACGAATAATTATTTCCTTTTCGTAGCTATTAATTTTGCTGTTGGTATTTAAACATTAAATAAAAAACCCGATCCGTTTTTTGATGGCCGCTTTTATTGAGGAACAAATCTAAAGGTATATATTAAATATTGTTACGTGTCGGGATGGGGTTTGAAATTATTTGCCAATTCACGTTCCGAAATCGCTGTCGAAACTCAACTGCGACGCATTCTAGAAAAGACCCGTCAAATTGAGAGTTAACTAGAACCCGCTAGTGCGTAGTACACTCGCGGAAAGTCCCGCTCTGTCACCCATAATGCCATAATCGCTTGCGGTAGCGGCGTAGTAAAAATTCATTCATAGACAAGTAATTATCGCTGTCTTACTTTTTCGTATAGCGCTGTCGCGATCACGATGCGGATGACAAATTGCAACTAAAACAAATGCAATTCAATTCATTATTCAATCAATGAAATGCTCTCTGTCTTACTTTTTTACGGCGGCCCGGATTGGCGCGTCCGAAGGCGGGGCGTAGTAAAAACTACTGTAGAAAACCGTTCAAAGCATTTTGTTCGCCAAGTGACAGAACGCATAATTCCACGATAGTACCTACTGATACCTACGTAGGTAACGCGCATAAGTTGTAAACAAGTGCAGATGTCGTTGCATATTCACCCTTACACCGCACTGCATAAGGCTCGTATTAGAATGATCCGCACCACTGGACCTTTATCGCGATCCACGGTGTTCTGGTAAATTCAGTCTCTAGTATTTTCGCGTGTTTGTTTCGAGAACGTTTGTGAAACTGCCCTGTTAACCATGCTCGTCCCGAGCATGATTGCTGTCGTGGTAAGGTGCCACACGATCGATGTAGATTATCTTGGGCTTCGTTCTATCTCCCTGTCTTCTCCGATAGGTCACGTCGTTGATTTTAGTAATTGCTCTATAGACTACTTCCCAGCTGGGCTGACAGTTCTTTATTCACCACACAGTTAACACACAATTTTAATTATAAAACACTCACTCACCACTGTATGCACTATAACACTTGAACACTGTACTTGCACTTTGGTCGCCGTTACATTCATTCCGAAATCGCTGTTGAAATTCAACTGTGTTTGGGCGGCGCCGATCTCGCTTATATACGCCAATCAACGGATTCTAGAAAAGTCCCGTTAAATTGAGACTGAACTAGCAACCCCGAGTACCCACTTATACCTACGTTGGTAACGCGCATAAGTTGTAAACAAGTGCAGATGTCGTAGCACTTTCTCCCTTACACCGCACTACATAAGGCTCATATTAAAACAAGCCGTACCACTCGACCTTTATCGCGATCCGCGGTGTTCTGTTAAATTCGGTCGCGGTTTTGTTTCAAAAGCGTTTGTGACAATATTAACGATTATTATTTTTCCATCAACTATCAACATTAAAAGAGTATATAATATCAAGAACACTGTGTAGTTGTATACATTAGTTTTGCTCCCCAATCTTTCCATCACTCATTTATTGTAATGTCAATGATAATATTACATATAATTAACATAATTTTTACATGAATTAATGACTATGTGTAGTACACATTTGGATGCGCCTAGTTATTCTATTTTCACTATTAAAAAAATAAATCAGTTTACTATAATTTATATTTTTCACCCTCCAAATGCGACTACATCGAGGCGTACAATATAAGGTTGGCAGTTTGCAGCCACAGATGTTTATTCCGTATTATTTTTAAACAAAGCATACCTACGACATAGCTGACGAGGCAATCGGACAAATGTATTTATTATCTGAAGGCGCGATCTCCAACTGACTCGCGTCACTGTGATTGGTTCACATTGACCTAAGTCATTATCATAAAAATAGCAAGGTATACAATAGTCCCCATATTTCTAATACATCATAACATGAGAGTTACTGCATTGTGAATATAGATGTGCGTGTACCATACTAATTATACGTATATTATTATTTTATTTTCTAGTAGAGGCAAATTATTGAAAATAAACGAAACAAATTTGACATTTGTATGATCCCATAAAATAAAATTGGTTTTTCATTTCGTTCGTAATAACACTTCTTTCATTGTGGAGTTTCCCCAACCATTGATTTTTTATACATATTATAACAAATACGTCCAAACGAAAAAAATGTTGTTACCTTAATGGACTAGGTCCAGCTAGTCACCATACTAAGCAAATAAAAAATCTTTTGAGACTTCAAACTACAGTGCTATGGTTGAAACTGAACGAGGTTACACTTACGACGTTCAAAAATTTTATCATGTACTTAACATAAAGCATTTCATATAAATATGATACTGAAAAACCAATCTTTCATACATGGGACTAATATTTTAAATTATTATGGAACACAGTTCAAAAGTAAAACTCAGTTATTATTTACAAACCTTTAAACTTGAATAGGTACTAAGTATAAAAATCATCAATTGCAATCAGAAACACAAAATAAGTCACATTTAGATGCTACCTTATTCCATGAGATACTTTGTTCAGTAGGGCCGTTGGTATGAAATTAAAAAAACTAACGCGACCTATGTAAATCTAAATGGTATCTGTATTATTTTTATAAGGGCTTTTACATATTGCACCGCGGTGGCATGGTGAATAGTGTGTATTCTCGTCACATATTCATTCCTGATCCAATACAATGCTTGAAAACGCGATGCCACCACCGTAGTGGAATAATGTAAGGGCTTATTATCCTACAGTTGAAGTCTACTACAAATTGATGTGTTACTATTAATATTTGAAAGTCTCATTAAAGTAAAGAAGCTGACGCGCCGTCTCCGCGGACATAAGAATCGCACCGATTATGTCCTGCTGTATGTAACCGGATAATCTTAATATTACAAGCCACCCCTATGGACTGAATAGGGACGATATGTTGAAAGACAATTTTAAAAGTATTTAAGCCCAGTCATTGTAACTATCATAACGGTAGTAACATCGCCTAGTGGAAAATATCACAGTTGGTGACAGACACGGTGACACCACCGCTACGATTCTCTTGTGCGTGAAGGTGGCGCCCAATTAAATTAAAATTAACAACTAACTATATACAAATGCAAGAATATCTTCTTTGCAATACAATAAATGTAAAACATTATCAAAAACAAAGTATCTAAAATCATAAAACATACACCTGACATACAAATAGGGTTATTTAGTTAATACCAATTATTTACTTTCTATTTGATGTAACGGTATAATCACACTTCTTTAGGAAATTGCCAATTATTTTAAGCCAAGTTATGTTTTTACAACTCCATAATATGCACAGTCCACAGAGAAATTCGTTACTGTAAAATAAACTAAATATAGGGACATCTGTAAAAACGTAAATCCATAAGCTATGAAGCAGATCACGTCGAACTCTTAAACTATAATTATATTTAAAACATTTAAACTGATGTAAAAGTAGTTTGAATGATGTACAGTCAAATGCTTTAATATGGTATCCATTTCATTGAAATGTAGTTTGAACCACATTTGATTGAAAGATCGAAATCTATAGACAAATATGGCGTTGAAACGTCAAAAATCTTTTCGAATTTATTTATGTTTCTGAATATTAACCTCCTTTCTAAGCGTATTCCATCGTTTTATTTTTTTCCTAACATCATTATATCAGTGTCGCACAAGTAAATTTTATTGACAATCTAAGAGAATATAATCAAATTCAATATATTTTTTTATAAAAACTTTTTCAACATTGTCACAAATTAATTTTAACACACAAATTATTTTTATTATATAAAATTCATTCATTTTTACAAATGATACCAAAAAAAGAATGAAATGCGCTTATATGTCTGTTTGCTATCCGATATTCAACATTAGGTGGATCCCAAATTAAAGAACGCGGCTATACAGTCGAGTTTCTTAGGCATTGTTCAGATGACCGGCACGTTAGGCGTAAGCCTCACTCAGAATCAAAACATAAAAAATCTTAGTAATGTTAAATTTCATAAAACTTGTAACAGTTTTACCCTTAATAAATTTTAAGCAACCAGTGTATCATAAATATATGACAAATAAATAAGGGTTCAAAATATCATAAAGTGCGTTCTGATGTGTTATAAATACGTTTTCAAAATATTGAAGCCAATGTTGAATGCAAATTTATACGACAGTACATAACGTGTGAATTTATGTTAGGACAATTCACCAGACAATTGCGCTCACCTCACTGAATACGATTTTTGTCTATTATATAAAATACGAGTGTATTGGTGGTATCACTTTCGTAGTCCTCTTTGGTACGAGATTATAAAAACCTATTTTTACAATAATAATTTAAAGTCTGGAGCACCATAAGCACTTTGGTACCGATTTGTGGTACCCAGATTTAAACTATATACATTAGGTACTTATATTTAACAATAAATATAATTTAAACACTCGGTTGGAACGAAGTAAACAATAAACAGATGTAATAATAAATAAATACAAACATGACCGAAAAATCTTGAATGTTTTCGCCTAGCCCACGGCCACCAAGTTGGTATCGTCCGAATAGGAACTTCGTTTCAAAAACTTATTTGTAACTAATATAATTATTTATGTCAAAATTCCCTCATAAGTGACCCAATATTAGTTTGTGTTTACCCTTAAATTTTCTTAAAAAGAAAATTAATCAAATCAAATGTATACGTGCTTGGCAACGGCAATTATCTAACGAATTGGTAACATCACAATTTTAGATTTGCATATCAGCTGGCAAAAATATAACTAGTGGCAAAGGCCATTAAATCTTAATGTTCTAGCTCTATATAGATATTTGTGAATCTTAGGCTGAGCTAATATTATTGAAATTTGAAGTATTTAGATATTTTAGTGCAAAGAATATTTTTGTTTCAATACATATTAATGAAACCATTTAAATAAACAAATATTTTGCTTTAACATTTATACGTCTACAATATTTAGAACTATTGGCCCTGCCAATACATATATATTTACGAACTCGACTGTACCTGTTAATCGACAGTTTATAAGCTTTAAATACAACAGTTTTACTTCTTATTTCAATGAGATAAATAGAGCTCATTGCTTATAGTTACAATTTATCAGACATTAAATAGTCATCTCTTACAGACGTTAATAACCCATTAGAATTTTTGTAGACTACCTACCAAAACTAAATTGATCTCTACACAACCATAAACAATAGTATTGGTATTGCATCTCTGACTGCTAGAGCTTCATGATGATTAAAATCCAAAATTTTAGAATATTTTTTTTTGTCGCATGAAGTGCAGTTTTTTTTTTGTCACACGAAGTGCAGACAGGTGCTATGATTTGGAAACATTTAATGTAATTATGATTTCATCGATTTTCTGTGAAAGCGATACCAAATAAACATTACCAAAAAATAACGGTGAGTAAAGGTGTTTGTAGACGAGGCGGCTTTCGTACCTAGGCACGGTTTTAAACCATGTCTACGTCCGGTCATCAGTTAGGTATGAGACACTATGGAGGTTTGTTAATGACACCGGCGCTAGCGGCGTTATCCCAAGCTATTGTTATGTTTATTTTATTGCTTTTATTAATGTTAATGTTTCGGTGTCCGTGATGCTAGCGTACCCACGATCAATATACGGTTTTTCGTTATGCCATTAAATACAGCGTAAATAGTGCCAAATTAGTGTAAAAATAAAAAAGTGCCTCTTTAATTTAAGAAATAAAGACCATTTTTACTGTGTACGCTACCATGACGTCAAGCTAGCGTACCCATGGCCGACCGCAAGAACGGCATATATTTAAGCAACGAAATTGACAGACAAAAATTGTTCGCAAATAGTGCCCTGGCTTTCATAATCAATACTCTTAAAGGACCAAAGATATTGAACTAAACATTCTTAGCTGGCGTCAACCTGGCGTAGCCATTATAGTTCTCATAGAAAATGAACTTTTCTCCTTATCCATTCTATATGTATAAATAGTGTGTCAAATAGTGCCTCTAACAGTAAAAGTATTTTATGTTAATTCGCAGTAAAACAATATAAAAAAAGCAATTAAATAATTTTTATATATGAAGTACAGTCATGTACAGAAGTGATAATATTTTCGTAGTATAGTAGGTATGTAAGGTACTTAGTAGGTAGGTTGAAATCCTTATATGAATTTATGATTGGTGAATTCGAATTGAAATAAAATATCTTTTTATAAAAAGTACCTATTTATTTTAGTAAAAATACATATATAGATAATCTCTTAGTGCATAAATTAATTTTGTGTGTAACTGTACTACAATACATTTGTTCCTAGAATTTAACATCCTCTTTATGTATTGTTGTGATGCGGATTCACATAAAATACTTTTACTGTTAGAGGCACTATTTGACACACTATTTATACATATAGAATGGATAAGGAGAAAAGTTCATTTTCTATGAGAACTATTATGGCTACGCCAGGTTGACGCCAGCTAAGAATGTTTAGTTCAATATCTTTCTTCCTTTAAGAGTATTGTTTATGAAAGCCAGGGCACTATTTGCGAACAATTTTTGTGTGTCAATTTCGTTGCTTAAATATATGCCGTTCTTGCGGTCGGCCATGGGTATGCTAGCTTGACGTCAAGGTAGCGTACACAGTAAAAATGGTCTTTATTTCTTAAATTAAACTCAGGCACTAATTTTTTATTTTTACACTAATTTGGCACTATTTACGCAGTATTTAATGGCATAACGAAAAACCGTATATTGATCGTGGGTACGCTAGCATCACGGACACAATGTTTCGTGTCGTCACTAAACCGGTTCCAACGGAAGACCAGCGCTAATGGCAACATCAGCACCATGCTGAGTTGGGACAGATTTGAGACAAAAAAAATGTGTATGTTTTGTTTATATCCTCTTTTACTGTTGTTTTTGTCTTAAATAAAAATATTTTTCTTTCTTTCTTCTTTCCAAGCCGTCGCCTAGCTATACTGTCCTATAGTTAACTGACAACCAGACGTGATCGCGGTTAAAACCGGGCCTAGATTAGAATAGAAAACCTCTTGTTTACAAGCGCCCTAAGGAAAATAGTCGAATGATAGGCACAAAATCGGAAAGGTCTGTTCGCTTCTAGGCTTCCAACGGTTGGCCCGTAAATTGAGCAATGGTCTTTACTGACAATGTATATTATGTTGTCTTAGAAATCTTTCGTCAAGATATTACTCTTTAGATGTCTGTTTTGGTATCTACTACTGCTTAGGCGAGCCCAAATCAAAGAACGTGACTGTACGGGCCAAAAACTTCTAGGCCCTAAAAACTAGCACTTAATGGCTGATAGAATTTGCTCCCGTCATCGAGTTTAAGATATTTCCACGATCTTCTTCAACTACTTATACAAAGAACCAAAAATATATGTAGGAAAACTGATCACCAATTAGCAATAATATATCCTCGACAAAATGGTGTAACAGAGGTTCTTGGCATTATAAATATACATATACAATAAACGGTGAATTTATTTCTGTGGTCGACATGGTTTTCAAAAAGATCATATCATAGTAAAATCTCAGTACAGACGAGGCCACTTTGGTATTAAAATTTGACATTGACGTCGATTCTATTTAGCAGCAGTACTCATATCACTGGATTCGAAGTGGCCTCGGCTATAGCTTACCATACTTGAATAGATACACCTAAACTTCTAATAAAATCATTAAAAACTACGTTTTCTGCCGCCTCGTTTTCTCGGCAGTAGCAAAACAATACAAACGAAACGGCATTCATGACAATAATTATTGAAGGCGGCTACTTGGTAGCTTTGGCTCCACGCGGGTTGCTAGCCCCAATAATAACAATAAATTATGTCTTTTCTATTTTAATAAATAAACAAAGTACGCGACAGCGACTTTATAGACTTAATGCCGGCACTGCACATGGTTATTCATATTGGCTATTTGTAAACTTGTCAGCAGTCTCTCCTTTTCACTCCCAATAAGAGTATGATAAGGACAACCAGCTGTAGGATAGCAAATATACGAATAAACATGATAAGTGACGGTATAAAACTGTACCGGGTGGAGCTAATTTATAACTAATTTATGTTACATGTTAAATTAAAACGTGAAAGGCAAATATGTTACAATATCTTGAGAATATACGTAAATGAATGTTACAATATAAACCAGAGGAACAACATAGAACATGATACTTTTAAGGGATCCGTACTCAATACAGAACTTCAATTTTGGTATTTAGGTAAAATGCTTGCCTAAAGCCGAATATTTAGATAACAATTCAATGAAATTTTTTTTCTTTGTCCATACATGAAAAGGAGGTACATTTGACCATACATTTTTTTTACCCCAGCATTTGACACGGCATTATCATTTAGTAGGGTATTATATTAATTAATTTTTATTTTCAATAACAAAGAAATAAGCGGTCATTAAAATTGTAATTTTTAACCATTTTTGTAACGGGATCTATCTCAAAATCGAAAATAGTTAAGAACGTGAGAGTTGGGTTTATGTTGTCCCAAAAAAACCGCCCATCAATGATGTACTTTGTAAATTTTGACGAAAACAATTTATTTTAATGACAAAAACATTATTCAGTCTGTGCATTTTAACCCGTAAAATATTATTATTTATAATGCAAAGCAAAAGTGATAAGTGTATATTATTGAATCCTTTTTCTTAATTAACATTTGCAATGTATTTGTTTTTCTACATTTTATACATTTGCACATCTTCGAAGCCAGTTTGGGGCGCTAGTTTAAAGTAAAGGATTTTTCTCCAAAATAACAACGAAATTCTAATACTAATCATAGGCACCCTTTATTACGGTTCGTTAATTTTCTTGTTGTTATTGCTCATTTCAAAAAATATTTGTTATTCATAACTTTATCATTCCCTGCCCATTGGGGGAAACCCAAGAAGTGGGTTTTTACTTAAATTCGATACTTTCTGTTATTTTTACAACTAATTTGTTATACATGAATACTTTACAATCTGAACTGAACATTTTACAGTCTTTGTTCACGTTAGTCTTCACTAGTTGGATCATGCCCACCTTTATGTGGCTTTGGAAATCCTTTTTTTTGCAATTACATAATGTCCTAACTCAATGTTTGATAAATATGTTATATTATGCGCATTCTCAAATTTGTTATCATCTATGTCTTATCATCAAACTTTTGCTACTAGAAAGCCGTGTTATTTTATTCATTTCTAATCTGTAATATGTAAAAGGGTTCGTACTTTCTAAGGTTATTATTTCTCGGAGGGAGATGTGTGGGCTTAGTATTTTAAAATGTGTAATACAATGACATTCATATTACGAAAAAAATCACAATAAATTAATTTATTAAAAGCCCTGTAACCTGTTGTAAAGTATGACAATAGAAATAAGATGGATTACTAGAATGCATTACATATTATGACACTCATATCTATACACTTGTGTTAAGTCTTTATTCGCAAACTTATCCTAAGCCATGCATATGAATTTTATTGCAGATTTTATCACCAACAAATACCGTAATCTATTCTATACCGAAGCTAAACGAGGACGGGTCACTAGTGTTTTATACAGTCATGAATTCTGTAAACCAACGAATTTGTATGCTATCACAAAATTATTATTTTTTGTGACCTCATATTGGATCGTAAATAAAGATCTCTCCATAATTTTGTGGAGAGATGATAGCCCGATTACTGATATTTGTAAAGCTGTAATGCAAAATCATGTTTTTGAAGCTTTAATAAGAGAAACAAGAATCTGTTTTTATACCAATCAAATTTCATATGGTTTTAGTTCCCATCTAGTATTTTTCTTCTATGGTTAAGTCCCTGATAGATTTAAAAAGTTTTTAACAACGACATAATCTTGAAGATCAGGTTGAGAATACAAAGTGTAAGTGTAGGTACTTTTTCATTAGTCGAATCGATAAAAATTGTAATGAATTTGCATGTTAAATGCATTAAACAATTATTTTGTAGTCAACTCGATAAATAAGATGGGTAACTAGAATGTATTTAACGTGTTTAGTCTTTATTCCCAAACTTATCCTATTTATTTATTTTTTACTTTATTGCCACAATTACAAAATCGACATAAGGCGGACTTTACGCTAAAAGAATTCTCCGTCAGTCAACCATCAGGAATACAGAAAGACACGAATGCGGCTTTTAGTAAAAAAGTAATTAAGTAAGTAATCCTAAGCCATGCAATGAATTTTATTGCTGTTTTCACCAACAACAAACACCGTAATCTATTCTATACCAAAGCTAAACGAGGACGGGTCACTAGTGTTTTATACAGTCATGAATTCTGTAATCCAACCAATTTTTATGTTATCACAAAATTATTTTCTGAAACAGCCTAAGCATACTGGATCGTAAATAAAGATCTCTCCATAATTTTGCGGAGAGATGATAGCTTATTTACTGATATTTGTAAAGCTGTGATGGAGTTTCATGTTTTTGAAGCTTTAACAAGAGACACAAGAACCAGTTTATGTTTAAGTCCCAGACAGATTTAAAAAGTTTTTATATATATAAAAGTTATATAAAATCTTGACTATCGGGTTGAGAATACAAAGTGTAAGGCTGGAAACAGTGGTCAACCCGCGGGTCCGTCCTGACCATCAGCGCTGACCGTCGGTTGCGAAAATGCATTCAGTGCTACGCTGACGGTGAACGGCGACGCGTGTGCACAGTTCACGAGAAAAATGAGCCCTTTTGCTGTAATATATGCACACTAGTTTTTGCGCAATTAATTCTTTACAAAGTTCTTGCCAAGGACTTATTTTAGCATCACGGTCTTTATAAAATACATACGATAAATTCCATATTGCCGGACGAAGCCGCACTTCAGCAATAAGGCGCTCGGTATCAATATTCATTTTTGCTTTGAGTGTACGTACGCGTGTTTGGTTGGTCGCTCCATCAGTGAAGCACTGAATGCATCCATACAATCTCATAGCTCGTCGGTCGACCGACGTACAAGCGACCGACGAGCCGTAAAGCTACGCCGACCGACGGTCAGCGCGGACCGTCGGTCGAGCACTGTTTCCTGCCTAAATGTAGGCTCTTTTTCATTAGTCGAATCGATAAAAATTATAATGAATTTGCATGTTAAATGCATTAAACAATTATTTTGTATAAACTAGCATCTCCCCGCGTCTTCGTCTGCGTTTTCTTTAGGTTTTTTAGAATTCTTCAGGAATCTTAACATTTTTCCAACCAAGTAATAAACTATGTGTTCCAAATTTTATCCAAATGTGTTGATCCGTTCTTGAGTGATTGAATAACAAACATGCAGACTTTCACATTTAGAATATTAGTAAAAATAGGCTATAAGACCCATCGTCAAACATTAAAATATTATACAAGTTAAATGATAAAACATTTAATGTAAGTCTTAAAGTTTGTTGTTCCATGTTAAACGTTAACATTTACGTATTTTTAACAGCTAAAGGAAGTACAAAAGAAATTATTTCTAACCAACGTATACTAATCCAACTTACTGCATCTAATAAAGTAGTCAAGTAATTTACAATCAAGACCGATCAATGATAGCCTACAATAATCACATACAATTTCCATAATCAGTGTGATATAGCAACCAACCTACCAAACATATCTGGAGAAGAGAATATTACATGGTACCTAGTTACAGAATCGATGAATGTCCCTTAGAAACGAGTTGACTAAAATGCGAACCTATCATGGTAGAGGTTTTTCTTGGGTGACTCACTTCACTCGGTGTGTTGAAAGGTCCGTTCGTTGGTACAGGTATGGAGTGTGGGCGACGGTTTCATCGTTGTGGGTTCCTGCGGACAGCCTTGCGCATTCTTCGCATGCCTGTGTTAGGCGCACTGCCCATGTTGAATTGCACCTGAGGCGCTCCCGTAGGTGCACCGAAACTGTACACGCCCGCCTGCTGCGGCTGCTGAGGCTGCTGTTGTTGCTGCAAATGTTAAAGAATTTACTTAAAAAAAGACAATCATCATAATCATCATCATCAACAGCCCATCTTAATCCACTGCTGGACATAGGCCTCTCCAAATGCAGTCCACTCAGATCGATCTCGGGCTACTTGCATCCAACTCCTGCCAGCTACCTTGCGCAAATCGTCACTCCATCGTGCCTGAGGACGTCCTACACTACGTTTGCCTAGATGCGGTCGCCACGCCATAACTCTTCTACCCCAACGGTTATCGGTCCTTCGGCATATATGGCCAGCCCAATGCCACTTCAGCTTGCTAATCCGGTGGTCTATGTATTACATTAACTTACATGAAATTAAAATGTACAATTTTCATACGCTATAGTGATTATGTTCTCCAATAACAATGTCACAAGCCCAAGCATGAATTTTTTATAGCTCCGTAAAGTAACGACATGGCATCGTCAAATGTTGTTTGGAAAAAACAAGTTTGTCCTTACGTACAGTTTGTCTATAAAGTCGTGACATGAATGTTTGAGGAACTAACATTAATCATGTGTCTGGCAACACCAAACTTATGTGCATCAGCTGTCATCGAGTTTCAGTTGTGGAACAGTTTTCCTATTGTATTTTATAATTTTTGGATTAAACTGTAATAAATTAAGACGAAACTACGTAGAAAGGTATAAAAATGAGTAAAGTAAATCGGAGTGGCACGCGGGAAGTGATTTTTAAGGTTTCCAGCGATGTTTCTAAGACTACCAAGCTGTACGAATTTTGTGGGATTTGGATGATGTTTATGGGCGAACAGCATGTATAACGGGTATGTAATCGTGTAACTATTTGTATGTAATCGTGTAACTATTTGTTTGTAATCTGTCTGAAGTTACAAATTTACTCAATTTACGATTTTGAGACCAAAAATGGCATTGTTTACATTGCACATTTTTAGGTTAGATTGACATTGTAAATAGGTAATGTATGTAGTACGACCATTTCTTTTGATACGTTATTATGGTTCAACTCGGTCAGGTTTTCTACCAATTTTGAATTAATTGCTTCATGTCAATAAGTTTTTGTTTCTATTCCGTTACATATTTTTTTACTTTCTTTTTCAGGAAAAACAGAGAGTACAGTTAAGCGGATACTCAACGAAGGTTTTAAGAATGATGGAAAGTTTGAAACTCCTGGGAAAACAGGCAAGGCCGACCAAAGAAAGAAATGGTCACATAAAGAACCATGGCCAGATGCTTTTAGTGAAGATACCTATCACTAATTTTACTAACTGCACATTGTCAAATTGTTTCTCTAAATAAACTTTTTATATACTATAAAATGATTTTTAGTATTATTTTCTTAACAAGTGTGTTAAAAAACGTCGTATGATGATACTTGTGTGTATTGATGATTACCTAACGGCTCTGGTCTCAATGGCACCTCAGCGGTAATCACCAACATTACACACTTTTACACTATAAAGTACTATTTTATCTATAATAATTTTATTGTATTCAATTAAATATGCTTGGCTAAACTTTTTATAAGCATAGGTACCTACTATATATATAAAACAGAAACAAAATACGACTGTATAGTGTGTCTTATTAATTACCTATTTTGCTTGAATGAACTGCTAGTATCAGAATCATTTTGGTCAGATTGTACAGGGTTGCTACATGCATACTAATGGCGCCATCATTTAATGTCACGACTTTATAGACAAACTGTACGATAGGGACGTTTCTGTTTCATAAAAACTTTGACGATGCGATACGTTACGGTGCTGACAAAAATTCGTCTTTGGGCCTCAGAAGGAATCATTAGAGGTGATCAAAGCATTGATTGTGTGTGCTTCTACTATTTTGCCAAATTTTAAAATCAGTTCAACAGTGCTTTAGTTTATTAACTTACAAACATACAAATCTTTCTTCTTTAGAAAATCAGTATATACACAGTCAGGTCATAAGTATTGTTACACAGTAAAAACTTTTCTTTTAGAATGCTGGCCACAAAAAAGTTTATTGAATTCGAATTTCGAATTGTTCATGAAAATAAAAATGCATACTTTTTAGAATTTTACTCATTTTTAAATATGAAGTGGGACGCTTAAAGAAGACCGTGTTGCAGTTATTGCGTTGCAACGTTGCGGTTACGCGCCAATTAAAATTTTTGACATACTGAATATTTTAAATATAACCAAAAGATTCGTTTGTCGTTCATCAAACGATACAATGAAGACTCTAGTGCAGATGACAGGTCAAGAAGTGAGCCCTCGGTCTGTTAGGACTCCAGCAGTAATAAAAGCTGTGAAGGCGCGTATTCAAAGAAATCCCAAAGGTAAGCAGAAACTGTTGGCCCTTCAGATGGGGTTAAGCAGAACCACGGTGAAAAGGGTGTTAAATGAAGACTTAGGGCTTTAAAATATTATTTCATATATGGGCTTTAAGTATTGCTCTTTATATATGTACTTGACATTTTCACTTAACAACATAATTTAGCCGACACCTCGCTGTCAACAAGCTTACCACCAGCAGACTGCCCAATAGTTGGCACCTCGCTTTTAACTCTGCTAGTAGGCCATTCTCGTATTATCTACCAAGCAATTTGCTGACAGCCAGGAGCGGATTTAAAATTGATGGGGCCCAGGGCTGAAATTGATGCGAGGCCTATTTAAGGATATGAAAATCATACGATTCCCAATTGTTCTAAATTCCGATTTTATGCTTAATATGCATTCGAACTTGCACGCATTTTAGAATGTAGAAGGGAGGGACACATGTACAGATCAAACTTCTTTTCGGTATTTCATGGGATGGCTCTAGCCCCCCAAGCCCCTACGTAAATCCGCTCCTGCTGACAGCTACCTGTCGGCGCGTGGACAGCTGGGTGGCTGCTAGCCTTAATTTAGGGCGGTGTTGAGTAGTAGAGGTGTGATGGAGCAGTCATGTAAATGGGCTATGGAGCTTAAAACTATTAATTACTTGTCCAAATCCGAAAATGCCCGTTTGTTGAGTGGCACCAAAGTTGAATGTCGGCGTGGGCGCCGGCGCTGGTGCTGGTGCTGGTGCTAGCGCCGGAGTGTCGAAGGCTGGTATGGCGGGCGCGGCGGCAGCGGCTCCGAACGCGGGCGCCGCGCCTACATTGTTCCCCCCGAACAGCAGCGGCGCATTGCCGGCCGGCTGCCCTCCGCTGAATATACTAGGCGCCGGCTGACTCGCCACCGGCGACGAGAACAACCCCCCACTACCCGCACTCTGCTGACTCATCCCGAACACGTTCTGCGTCGGTGTCGTGGTACTCCCGAACGCTGGCGACGCTCCACTAGCGTTGAAAGGAGTCGCAGATCCGAACGAAAACGCCGGCGGCTTCTGCGGTGGTGCAGCGCTCGACGCGTTCGAAACGAACAAATTGGCAGAATTATTATTAGACGAGGACCATAGATTCTCCTTCTGCACTGGGGCGCCGAATATACCTGTTGCTGTAGGTTGTAATTCATTTCTATTTGCCATTGAATTTGCAGGTATTTCGTTCGTATTACCGACCTTGTTTGCGGTAAGTCCGTTACCACCCGCTGGAGTAGCACTACTAGCGAGACCGTTACCGACAGTTGCCAATCTGTTTCCAGATAGATTAAATTTGTTGGTGCTTGTGTTGCTTTCAGTTGAAGCTGCGCCAAATGCATTATTGAACACTCCAGTTGGCATATTGCTGCCAAATGTAAAATTAAATTTGGGTTTCTCAGGCTGTGCATCGACAGAAGACGTCGAGTTATTGTTAAAATTAAAGAGAGTCGCCCCCAAGGTCGGCTTAGTTGGCAAGGTCGCAGTGTCAGTTTTTTGGAACAAAGACACTGAATTAGTGGTAATAGTTTCCGGTTTTTGAAATAATGACGAAGCTGTAGTCGTAGTAATTTCTGGTTTAAAAAGCGACACAGGTGTAGTGCTCGGAACCTGAACAGGAGCCACAAATGTCGAAGTAGTCGTGGCTGGAGCAGCAAAGAGATTGACTGCTGGTTTTATTCCAGGCGCTTTGAATGTAAAGTTACTCTGTGTCGGTGTTGCCTGACTGCTAGTCAACATAGGTGGAATAGTCAAAGGGTTGCTCAAAGCATCTTTCTTATCTGCCGAACTTGTGGAACCAAGCAAAGAAAGTTTGGTTTCAATTGGCTTAACTTGATTTGGAGGAGATGCCAATTGAGACCCAAAGATACCAGTCATTGGTTTAGACATATTATCTTTTTGTGTTTGAAGTGATAAATCAACCTTTGGAACCTCTTGCACCTTCTCATCTTCTTGGGTAACCGATTTAGGTGTAAACTCCCCTAATTTGTTTGTTGATCCAAATATTTTTGAGACAACTGGCTCAGTTGCTGTCTGGGTTTTTGGTATACCAAATGTGAAATTTAATTTGGCAGGTTCTGGATTTAAAATCTTGACTGTGTCAGTTTGATTATCAGCTTTCTTCGATGGTATACCAAACGAAAATGAGGGTGTTTTTGGCAAAATATTATTATTTGTTTCAGATTCTTCTGGTTTTTTAGGAACCTCAATGGGTTTTTCCTCAACTGGTTTGGAATTTACATCCTGTGTTGCTAAATTAATACCAAACTTAAAGGTTATTTCTGAAGGCTTATGGAAATTAAATAACTTTTTAACAGATTCACTTATTGTGCCTGGTTTATCTGCCTCACAACATACACATTTAGATCTATTATTTTCATTTCTTACTAAACAACTTGTACATTCCCAAGTGTTAGTTTTAGCATTAATTTTAAGAAAAGGTTCTGAATCATTGGGTAATGCTGTCGAACCAATGCTAGGTACAGTACAGTTATTGGTTTTCGTACCAGGTTTGATTGCTCCGCAAACACATTTATCAACATCTATTTTGTTTTTTACATAACACTGCAAACATTTCCATTCATTTTGTGAATCTACAGCATTGACAGAATTGACTGAGGAAGAAGAGTTAAGGGTTCCAGTGGATTTTTTAGGATTCTTTCCTCCACAACAAACACATTTGTCAGCATTATTATCATTTTTGACCCAGCAGTCTTCACATTTCCATTTTGATGAGTCTTCAACATTTTGTATTGAGGGTAATTTTGTGGTACTATTTATTTGGACCTTTTCACAGTTCACACACTTGTCAGAATTTGATTGACTATCTGCTAGCTTACAAATGGAGCATTTTGATTGTTTAGCCAATTTTTTTGATGTTTGTTGAGCTCCACAGCATACACATTTTTCAATATCTGCCTTATTTAAAACCCAGCAATCAGGGCACTTCCAATCTTTTGATTTATTAGATTGTTTTTGTGCTCCACAGCATACACATTTCTCAATATCTGCCTTATTTAAAACCCAACAATCGGGGCACTTCCAATCTTTTGTTTCTTTAGATAGTTGTTGGGCGCCACAGCAAACACATTTGGGAGTATCTGTTTTATTAACCACCCAACAATCAGGGCACTTCCAATCTTTTGTTTTGAGAGAAAGTGATTTTTCAGTTTCTTTAGGTGAACCTACAACACAAGAAGATGTGTCATCATTTTTCTCAACAATTATTGATTTATCGACACCACGATCAGGACTACCAAACGTAAATTTAGGGGGAGTTGTTGTAATCAGAGATGTTTCACTGGTTAATCTGACTGGGGTTGAGAATTTGTAAGAGTCACTAGTAGTTTTCTCAGGTTTAATTGATTCAAGCTTACTCGTTGCTGGACTATTTAAAGCTGTGTCTTGAGATGTCGCTTCTGATACTGGTTTGCTCAATGTTGAAGTGAAATTGAGTTTAGGTGCAGTATTCGATGATGGCGTACTAGTACTTGGTAATATTGTTCCGAGTGAAAACTTGGGCATGTTATCTTTGTCAATTTGCAAAACCGCTGTAGGAAGGTTTACTGGTGTGATCATCTGACTTTCAATTTCACTCTCTCCACGTTTCGGCCGTGTTAACCTAGATTTTACTTTAGTAGTAAATTTGCTACTAGTTTCTGTATCTGCTTGATCCCTGTAAAATCGAAATTTAAATATTAAGGAGGGCTACAATGACACAGTGGTCAATTCATACTAGCGTAGAGCAAAGCGCATCGAAGCAAGAATCGGAAAAGTAACAAAGAAGATAAAAACAAGACGCTCGAATTCGCGGCCAGCGCTGATTATCAACTCAGAAGGAAATGTGCATTACGATGCCGAGATAAAGGTGGCTATGTTACGTTTCTGAACGACGCTTCGACGGTTGTTATTTATCCTATGACGTCTCATGCCATTTCCTTAAACTATAACTCCTAACTCAACCTATATAATTATGTTAAAATGAAATATTTTTTGTGGGATGAGTAAGAAAAAAAGAATGAGTAGGATGAGACGTTATAGGATGAATACGGAACAACCCGCTTTGATGTGCTTTGACCTTGACCTAGCTAGTATGATGAAACATTATTTACCTTTGTGTATTTTTCGATGGATAGGGTATATAGTCAGAAGTATTGCTCTGTGATGCAATGATTTGTCTTGCTGCATTTGTTGTGTCCATTAACCTAGACTTTTGTTTCAATCGCAGAACCGACACAATATCTGGCACATGAAGCTCTTGGGTCTTGTATGCTATACAAATTAATTAAGTTTATAATATTATTGACAATAACTGAAAAATATTTTTGGTAAACTATTGTTACGAATATTGACTTCTGTAGCCATAACAATAATTGTTTTGGTTGTACTGATTGATTATACAATAGAATATTTGTCCAAGGTTACTTTTAATTATACTCATTAGTTTAATTAAGATACCAATCCTCCTATTTAAAATTTTATCTTTTCACCACATTAGAAACTATCTACAAAATTTGCAAAGACATTTAGAAAATCGTTTCTTTTAAGCAAGCCAATTTACAAATATTAGGGCTTCTACACAAGACTGAAATCTTATCAATAAGATTTCGATCAACTCGAAAATACTAAGGTTTGAGAACAGAAGACGTTTTTTTTTAATTATTTTAAAATGAGCATAATATCTTCATCTGAAAGGCTTTTGAGTTTTTTATCACCATGTCTACAAAAACTATCGTACAGGGGAAGTCTCAGAGCGGACTAATATGGTGTTACCAAATGTGATGTAATATCGCGAGATGCGCGATGCGAATCAGATCGAAAGTTCATGTGGTGCATTCGTGCGAGCTCGCAGATATTTGCGATGCGATGCGAATTCACAGTTATGTGTGGTAGCAATTAATGCGACTGCCTGTATGTATAATGCAAAACACTTTACTTGTAACTAGTCGAATACTATTTATCTGTATGTAGTTAAACTCTACTTTTGTACTAACATCAACACACAATTAAACTTGTTCAAGCACTTTATACTTACACATTACTTTAGGACAATAAGGAGAGCCACTAACGCTTGTACTTTCATTAAAACTGCCTTTCTTTGTACTTTTAATATACTGTGATATTCTTTTTGCTTCCATTAGTGGTGAAGAATAGTTTTCCAGGAGATCCATGACACGTCGAGCTGAATAGCTCATGGAACTATCGTCACTACTTTTTGATTCCTTTACCAAAGCCACTTTACTATTTTGAATGTTTGGTTGGTTGATGTATATAGAGGCAGCACCTCCATACATAGTTTGTCCAGGATAGAAAGGTGAACCAAATAAGCTTGGCTTGAAACATGGAGCTTTTGGATCCACCACAGTGTTGTTAGCTGTCCGTACTAAAACATTTATAGTATAAATAAAAATACAAGGATTTATATTACCCAATAATGTCATAACACATTTTAAGAAACTATATTGAACTTACCACAAGCTCTCTTAGAGATTTCTTTATTTGGGTTGTCAAAAATTGACTTCCGTTTTGAAGAAATAGATGAGCTCACACTAGATAGAGTATGTTGTGACTTAGTTACAGTAATGTCTCTTTCACCTTTGTCTTTAACTGATTCTACAGTTGGTGTCCTCACAGGAGTGGACATGAAATTGGACTCTCTTCTAAACATAGTTCGGCCTGGTGGAGATTGTACAGAGTTATTGTATGGGGCACTTTGATCAAATGTATCAACATTGTGACAGCCCAACTGAAAATAAAAATTTTACCATTCATTAAATAGTTTTTGTAAATGCATATATATACTATTAACAAAAGTCTATCAGAATATTCATACATCTGTAGATGAAGCATAATGATTATATTTCCCAGGGGAGTTGTTGAGTCTTGCTCGTTTTGCTGGTGGCTGAGCAGTTGTCGGACTTTCTGGCGCTTCGTCCTCAGTAGACGAATCTGTAGCATCCGCTGCAGGTGCAGATCCATTGGCATTTGATGTACTCGGGCTACCAAACCACTTTGTGATTGAAGTAGGCAAAAGGCCCGATACCCTTGATGTTACATTCTTCACAAATGACTGTAAAATAAAAAATATATATTTTAAAAACGATTTGATTGGCTCTTTACAAACAGCCTCTGATAAAATGCAGCCTTAGCGTCAGATCACACCGAAACGTGGATAGTTAAATACAGATAGAAAGCAATAAATACATCTTGTGACTATTTAAATTTTAATCATGAATTTTGGGTGTGAAAATCTGTTTTCTTGGAATACTCATAATAAATTTTGTTCTGCTGGGAAGTCTCAGCAAGTGACGAAACATCGAAACATAGATTTTCAGCTATAATCTAAAAGTAAAGCAGCAATCGATTATTTGGATTCCTCTAGGTGACCAAAAACCAACCAAAGTCGCAAGTGTCATCAATATGAAACAATTACTTTTTTTTTTTATAAAACAGGACACATGGCTGCTTTTGTTTGGAGGATCATCATACAGTGAATGTGTGCTATCACTATCCACTCTTTCCGCAAACACAAGGTCGTTTACCTATATGTACAACCATTTATTTGCCTGAACATATTGACCAAATTCATAAAAATAATGCTGTAACATATTACCATACCAGCTCTCACACAGCCAGACACGAATGTATGAAAAGAAAAAACGGAGACTGTATACGTGATTCTTTCATACAATCCTGACATATTTCCAAGGTCACCACCGAGATGTGATAAATGTTTTCAAAATAAGTTTATTTGTATAAAAAATGCATTGAAGCAGGGAGAATATTTTTAGGAATGATAACTTCATTTTGACCAGTCATATTATTTAATACATTATGTTCAGTTTAATATGCCCCACACATGAGTCAAAGATGGCTTGTAAACCTTTTGTGAACCTCACTCATCAGTTTCTTTTTTATAAGTAGACTTTGTCAGCGATATCAAACACTGGTCCACACTGCATCAGCAGTCATTAGCACCCACCAATCAGCACTGGGCCCGCATGGTGGGTCATGTCATTACCCAATCTCCCTATTCCATCCATAGGGAAGTCCTGTGCCCCAGCAGTAGGGACATTAATAGGCCGATGATGTTTAGCAATTTATGTGTTGTTCAGTACCAAAAATACAACATTTAACATTTATAAATCACACTGGTTCTTGGGGTCACGAAATGAACCAAATCTAAAATATCAGGAACACACTTTTTGGTTCTTATAAAAAGCGATTAGAAAGGAATACCCTACGTTGTTGAGCCCAAGTTGGTACATGTTTCTATTCTTGTACCTGTAGGTTATAGACAGTAATATCAGGGGCAAGAAACATGTGTGGTTGAAAGACTCTTGACTAATGGCAGCCTTCGAAACAAAGTTTGGTTGTGGTTGAAGTATATAAAAATCTGGCAACATGATGTTCATGCGAAATGGCAATCACTGAAATTTCGAAAAGCTAGTGCACCCGTCAAGGTCTGGTCAACGAAGGCCAGCGCCTACTGGTCTACTAAAGGAAAGAATGTGGTATAAGGAAGAATTTTACTCCTAAGAACACTTGTTGTAGTAACGACGAAAGACCGCGCTTAACTATATCACGGCGTAATTTTAGAGTGGTGCAATGTGGTTCACTTAATCTTATTTGCTATTGGATAGACTTGTTTATCAATTATTATTGATGGAGATATAAGTTTGCTGTGGAATTGGCTGTTCATTTATTTCTTAAAAAAAGAATTTCTTTTTTCTTTCTTTTTTTTATATACTTTAGACAAACGCATAGGGGATAGCCCCGAGATTATATGTGGCATAATCAGAGTGGCAGCCTCGCGAGCCAGCTATTGGTAAGGATCTCCCAATCAAAGCAGTCCTCCTGGCATCAGTTCGACGGAAACTAAGCTGATGGGCGTTAAGCACCCTACCGCCAGTAGAGCTGGTGGAAAAGCTCTGAATCACCTTAGGCACCTGTTACGGCACTTTTGTGAGAAGAAGAAAGGGGCGGTGCATTGTATTCTTACTGTCATTATAAAAACTAATGCTCACCAGTACCACCCCAGACACCTATCAGACACTTAGCTTGGGCGAGTATGACTTTGGTTCGCGACTGGCTGTCAAGAAAATAGGATAGGACTTTTGGATTAAAAAAGAGTAGAGCCAAAAACAAATGGACAACAATGATTTACTTTTATTACCATTATTTTTACATGGTTAACAAAAATAATAATAATAATACTCTTTATTGACATACACCTCACAGGACATACAAAACATTAAACATGACAGTGAAAACGTACACAATAGGCAGCCTTATTGCTAAACAGCAATCTCTTCCAGGCAACCCATGACAGTGAAATAAATAAATAAGAGGAACAAGAAGGGGGGGTGTAACAGGTATGGTAAAATAAATAATGAATAATAGATGCAATAGATATATCCAAAGAGAGAGACAAGTGAGAGGTTAAGACAAGTTAAACAAGACTTAAAATTGGGAAAGGAAATAACCTCTAACTTGATCACTAACCAAGCTTAGAGTGTGAGCCTTTCGGATTGTATCAGGTAGTGAGTTCCACAAACAAACAGAATGCACAGAGAAGGAATATGAAAAGAAATCAGTTGAATGGAGTGGGACTGCAAGGGTTAGATTTGAAGAGGACCGCAAAGTGCGTTCAGATTCGGAATCAAGAAACGAAAAACATTCTTTTAGATAGGGCGGCGAAGTAGGAAGGAAATGTACAGAATAGAGAACCGTAAGAGTGTGTAAGTCCCTGCGTGGGCGAATAGGGAGCCATTTTAGTTTGTATCGAAAGTGAGACACATGGTCATATTTATGTAGATTAAAAATGAATCTGATACACATATTCTGCAGACTTGCCAGTTTGTTTAGGAGTTCCTCAGATATGTCAGTATAACAAACATCAGTGTAGTCGATAATGGAAAGTAAAATTGTCTGAGCCAAAGTGACCTTTGCACTTGTTGGTAAAAACTTATGCAACCGGTTTAGTGAATTGTATGCGGCAAATATTTTCTTTCTTACCGCTTCCACCTGAGGCTTCCATGAGAAAAACTGATCAAAGATCACGCCAAGATTTTTCACTGTACTAGAGAAAGGGATAATTTTACCATCAAAGATAATAGGGGGCAATAATCCAAAATCAATCCTGGAAACAAAGTACGGACTGCATTATAATAGTCTGCGTTTTTAAAGGATTTACAGTAAGGCCGAATGACTTAGTCCAACTACTAATTATAGCTAGGTCTGAATTGGTTGTTGCTATAGCATTTAGAGATATCTGATAGAGATGCTTGAGTGTAGATCTGTAGGTCATCAGCGTAAAGGTGATAGGAACTAGAAAGCGTTTGTGAGATTGAATTCATAAAGAGAGAAAAGAGAAGAGGAGATAACATGCCACCCTGGGGAACTCCGGCATTGATAGTGCACCACCCAAAGAAGATGCCGTCGATGCAGATGCGCTGCCGGCGTCCTAGCAGGTAACTTCGCAACCAATCAATAGCCGCTGGAGATATGTTAAGAGAACATAGAACAGCAAGAAGAATATCAAAATCAAAAGAGTTGAAGGTGTTGCTCAAGTCAAGTAATGTCATCAGTGTAAAAATCAATCAGTGCAAAAATACTTCTTTAATCAAAATAAAACCAATTCAAATAATTAATGACAAACACATTATATAACTTATGGTAACAAATAGTCGTTGTAGTTGAATAAACATTATCAGAATCACACTATTAAAAACATTAGCAGCACTACTTTAATGGGCATTACAGGGACAGCTTAATAACTTAACTGGCAGACTATGTAGAATTCAGTTTACTTTACCCTGCCATCATCCCTATTCTGTAACTTCTTATTTTATTTTTAACCAGTATCCCCTTAGTAAATTGAGAGTTACATTGTTGCAAAGGTAAAAATATGGTGTTTCCACAAAATTTCTGTGAATCTGCTAAAGGTGTACCATATAAATTACTGTGTAATTTTTCTAAGGAGAAAACAACATTTTGGACCAAATCATCACATCTACTGCAAACTTATATATCTGGTTTCTTCGTAAATTCTATAATAAATAAACTGCACATAATGGGTTACTTAACACCAGGGAAACTTCACACAATTTTATCAATGACTGTTCCAAAAGTCTGATTGTTTGAATCTGCATTTTATGTTTATATAGCAAAAGTAAACTTACCAAATTAATATATGATATTTTGGCATAGTAAGTTTTATGAAATTCAAATTCGTAAGTTTACTATGGAAGTAACAAAATCATGTATTGAATACCTATATCTACTTTTTCATTATCAACAAATATAATTTAAATAAGATGTGAAACATTAAACATACAATCATCATCATCATCAGCCTATTAATGTCCCCACTGCTGGGGCACAGGCCTTCCCTATGGATGGAATAGGGAGATTGAGCCCTGACCCACCATGCAGGCCCAGTGCAGATCGGTGGGTGCTAACGACTGCAGATGCAGCCAGGACCAAGGGCTTAACGTGCCGTCCGAAACACGGACGACGAGATAGTAAATTTTTGGTCACCCAGCCAATAACCAACCATTGCGAAAGTTGCTTAACTACAACAATCGCAGCCGAACGTAACATACAATATTTAAACAAAATACTTATTATTCTGAATCAGACTATCCTAGCACCACAGTTTCTTTTTTGTAAACAGATTTATTCATTTGTGACAACACATAGTAAGTTGGCTTGGAATCCACAGTCTTTGCCATTTCTTTTAATTGATTGCTAGGTGAAAACATTCCTTTTTATTGTTTTGTTTAGAACTTTTCTTTTTTTCATGTACAGTTATTATATGTGACACAGTAATACATTATTATCTTGACTCTAGATAAAAACCAGATTACAGTGCAGCTAGACACTGTTTTTAATAATGTGACATAGGAATGAATTATAAGAATATAATAATGACAAGACATCCAACATTTGTAATACATTGTATCATTCCATTCAGTTTCCTCTATATCCTTCAATTCAATTAAATTTTTGGTGATTATGGCTGTGTCTCATTATGTGAAGATTCTGCCAATGTCTAGGTTAAAGGAGACAAGGTATATGCTGGGCATGTACGGTTTTGTTTATTTGTGCAGTTTATGAGATTTTAAGCTGTTTAGCTGTCAGATGTAGTAAGAAGCACTTCTCACCATTAGATATAATTTTCATGTTATTTACTAGGCTGCACCACTTGATTATGTACTCATTGATTATATTTAGTCTAATAGTTTTATAAAAGTGATGTCACTTTAATATGGCTAAAGTTCATTCTTTATAATTTCCAGAAAAATCTCTACTATGAACATATTTTAAATAAATAATAAATAAATTACCTGTGATAAACTATTTTAAAAACAGAAGGAGGCAAAAAAGTGAAGTCGTTACCTCAACTACGCAACGCAAGCAAACAGTAAAGAAAAAATGTCATGGAAGGGAATGGAGCCTCACATGCAAATGATGATCACTCTTAACAATAAACTTTAAAGTGATCCAGCACCAAATCAGTAGACTTTCGCATTGTTCATAAAAGAACAGCAAAACAAAACTTCGCGTGTGGCCAAAATCAAAAGATGCTGATAAATCAGTAACGACAATTTGACGCAGAGCGGGAATTCATTGACAACTTACGTTGTTAGCCTCATTTGGAGAACGGGATCGCTTTTCTTTGCCTTTGGAAAACACAGTACTCATTTTGAAATTAATTGTTCACAACGTGCGTATGCACATGCGGTGACGCTAACGCAAATTTATTTTTTGACTAATTATTTTCCCGAATGGCAAAAACGTGACAAACATGGCGCCTCAAGAATGTGTCAAGAAACGCTTGTAGGGGGGTTCGTGTTGATTTTCACTAGATTATCTCACATCACTTTATTGTTCAATACAAATATGACCAAGTAAGAAGTAAAATTAGTAGAAATAACTAGCAAAAATATGAAAATGCGCTGATTAAACGAGAATTACAACTAATTTCACCACTTTCCGCTCACGTTCCGCTTTAAATTCGGTGTTGCTACACTGTAAGAAACCACAGAATATAACAGACTGTTTGTTGAATTCCTCCCGTTTTAGGGAAGGCAAAGGGAACAATGGCCATACAGCCTAGTCTTTAATTAAATTAATCTTCTTTTTGTTTTTACATTAGAATGTCGGTGTGACGCATTCTAATGTTTCTTGGAGTGTTTGGCACGAAATGTATCGAGTTGGCTTTTTCGATAAGCTTCTGTGAGGTAGTCAACACTACAATAAAATTCTGACGTCTACTTGACCGGAATAGCGTATATTTTAATGCTTCCACTAATTCTTCAGTTACGCAGACAGTTGTTACACAAAACCACACCAATTTTATTTCACAATATCCACTATGAACGAATTTAAGAATAATTAAAATAAGACGCAAACCGCACTCGATGAAATCCCACCAAAAAACTCACACATTAACTGTAACTGCCTGTGTTGCCAGGACCCGATAAGAAAAAGGTAATCGGTGTTCGTCATGCTAGTGTACACCAAATCAAATTTGAAGTTGTTATTTAAGCTAAAGCCGGTTCTCCAACAAAAGTTTCTTGAAAACATTCAACAAAACAAATTAGTGTGCTGTATTTTTTTTAATGTTTTTTAACAAAGCTTTTGCTGTGTTTTTCCCTACACAATCAACAAAAACAAAATTTACCACCATTTTTGGCGCGGGACGAGGTATAAATTGCGCCAAACTTGACTCTGAACTAGTCCGCTCTGAAGTTGTTTCGCGCAGGTGTACAGCCCTAAAAACAACCTAAAAACAACAACGTTGTAGCTCGTATTTAAAGGGACGAACCCTTTAAAGTGTTCAGAGCGGACTGCAAGATTGGCGCGATCTATACATACGTATAGCACAGTAACGAAAATAATAAAAAATAATGCAATAATCCCACAAACACGAACGTGTTGTTGCTAGGAACGCACACATTACAAAAATTACGTCACTCCACAGACTTAAAATATATAGGAGCAGACCAAACATTAGAGCAAAGAGTAGTATTTTAGAAACACTAAAGATTGAAAAGCACGGCAAAACTAACACACCCAAATACACACACACACACTAACGCAAATACAGGGACGGAGTTATTCTCCTAGTTCAATGAGACAATAGTGAAATTAGTATCTTATTAAAGTAGCAAAATTCTATGTTACTTTGTTGACTTCTTTTAAGCCGTGGAAAGGATTTTAGCTATGCTATCGTAAGGAACTGAAAAAGAAAGCACGTTGAAGGTAAACATTTGCAAAAAAAGCGAGTGTTCTTATGACCACACGACTGAAGTGAACCTTCTTTAGCTCCATCTGTGTATATATATATTTATATATACATACAGATATATATATGTGTGTGTGACCGGTGACATATTTCGTAACACGTAACTCGTAACGCAATCGCCAGTTTACCCCCCAAGCCAAGCTTGCCTAAATTGTTCATTGTTTACCGATTACAGTTTACCCTCCAAGTCAAACGTGCCTAAAGAATTTTCACTTTAATAAGTGACTGGTACCACCTACGGTTGATGTTGCGGCGTCATAAAATGCTTATTACCATTATGTTGGGGTTTGTGGAGGTACAAATTTAGAAATGTCGCCCGTTTTGGGGTTTGCAAGGGAGGGGGGAGGGAATTAAAAATTACGTTCCGTTTCACTCATTTACAATTTTATTTTACGAATTTTTGAAAATAGTTTTAAAATATTTATACGCAACTCCTGCAACCAAAGTTACTTTAGGGAGTCAAAAACGATACTACTTTAACCCCTTATACATCCAGTAGCCTCAAATTCAGGCGTCTTGTTTCTAAATCCAACCCTTTATGTACGTGTAATAATAACAAGGTTTTGTGTTTAATAATAATCTATTTATTTTGGCACAAAATTACTTTTTTCAATTAATTCCTTTTTGATACATTGCTCGTTTCACCTTTTGCATAATGTTTAGACTGTAAGTCAATATAAAACTTTACAATAACTTCAATTCTTCATTATTATTTGAATTGAAAATTCGCATATAATCGTCAATATCCCAATCATACTTAATTATTTCGTGTAAGGAAACAGTTTTATTGATTTTAAAAAAGATTTCACATATTTATATAACTGAAATAAGACCATTAGTGGGATAAATTAAACCCCCACGATCTTTCGTATTGATTAAAGAAGCAAAAAAAAATATGTTTCGCGGCCAACACTAACATTTGATAGACAACACACAATTTTGCCTTTGTGGTGTCGAAGACGGATATTGACTCTCTCCTTCTATTTTTTGGTGATACTCTTTTCATACGATGTGGATGCCAGAGTCTCAATATTATACCCGTTTTGCGGCTTAAAGATACCTGTCACACTTCGATTCCTTGATACACGTTTTGAGAGTAAACTTCTAGTCGCATTTTCTTTATTCTGTAACTATAAAACATTATTATGTAAAGTAACTATAAAATTAATGAAACACAAGGGCAGAGGAGATCTCAGCTGAAGAAATCTGTACACACAGCATACATAGCAAGACACATCCAATACTCGATGAATAAAGTATAAATTCCTTGAAAATGCAAGAAATAAATTTGCTTAGATAAGATTAATTTAAAAGTTAGAAATTATTATTATATCCCCATCAGTCTTACACAGAAAACTATATAACTTACTTATGTCCTGATTCAATTGGCATTGCTTACAATAATATATAAAAAATTACTTAGGCTACTTTGAGCCCGCAATCATTAAAAAGTTAGATAGTTGTCAAAAAGGTTAAGTACTTTAATGCACTCAAATCCAGCAAAAATATTTATCTACACCAAACCAAACAGACAGGTCTACAAGTGTGGGTACGGCCAGAGTGCACTCAGATTCAGATTCCGAAAACAAGCGCGAGAAATAAACAGTGTAGTCGAAGGGTACGGCCAGAGTGCACTCCTGATTCACTGCACTGACAGTGCACTTCTGTTTTCAGAATCTGAATCTGAATCTGAATCTGAGTGCACTCTGGCCGCACCCTATGGCAGTATATTTGACTTACTTCAGATAATTATGGTAAATTTTAAAATAATGTTGTTACTGCACCAGGACATACAACGTTGTAGACTGGTTCGAAACGGACTTTTGTCTATGAAATGTTCCTCAAAATGTTTGGAACATAAAACACATGTTTTGCTGGGTTTTTCTTTTTTATCTGCATGCATGCAACCCAAATGTCACATTGTCTGACCCATTGGAAATCGACTACAAATATTAAATAACATTAAATCACTTACTAAAAGATCGTTTACTAGTCGTTCCATCTCACAATTCCGATATCATTCACTCTTCCTTCTTCGTCAAAACTATACTTTTGTGGAATGAACTCCTGCTAGACATTAGAATTTCCTCCAACCTTTTTATAGGAACAGGCATTCGTTAAGTAGTTTGTCGTCATGTATGTATTATATGAAGTATGTATGCATATGTTTAGTTATATTATTTATATATATTTACTCATAGAGGTATGTTATTATTATATTTATTATTAGTAAAATTAGTATTTCTTTAAATGTGATCTCCACCTCAGTTGTGCACCCTGCCACTAAAATCTTCACAACACCCTATGGTTTACTGGTAGAGAATGCCTACGGCATTAAGTCCGCCATTGTACAGTATGTGCATGAAGAATAAAATAAATAAAAGAACAACAAAAGCATGACATAATATCCTGTAATTCTGTCAGAAAGTGAAATCTGACGGTGTCAGTGTCATTGTACAGTTTTCCTTATCACACCTTTTAATTAATTAAGATTAATACATATAGCTATTGTTGTAAATCCTCTCAGAGTACATGGTAACATATCTAACTCCTCCGGTCTAAGGTTGTATCTGAATATAGCGAGGTAATTAATCAAATCTATCTGTAATATTGACTGCAATACTCAATGATAAGTTATTATCATTACTTAAATTTATACATATATAATTCCAAACTTATTAAGTCCTAAGTCACTGTTTGCCACACTTATTTTTTTATGTTAGGTAATGCAAAACTTAGCTTTCAATTTAATCTTAAAATCACAATGAACTGAATAAAATGAGTACAGTTAAGTACAAGTGCCTGAGTTGGGCCCCTACGACAGTGAGAAGTACTTAACATGTCAAAAACTTCTCTTTTTAATAATTGTGTCCGAATTTATAGCAAACATGGCCCGTTTTTTATGTTTGTATGAAACGTCATGCTTCCTATTGATAAAGCTTCTAAGTAAATACAAGTAGGAAATAGAAAAATGTTTAAATCATCACAATTTAGGCAATTCATAGTTCGTTTCAGGAACCCACAATGTTTACTCACCAGTATAAGGTTAATCCACTACATTTCACTATCCTCAATATTTTTCTAGTTCAGTTTTATTCACTCAAAGCTATTAATTTTTCACTATTAATAAAAAGTGCATGTGCGGCATCGGCAGCTTACCAAATTGCGACCTTTCAAAACATAGCGCGCGACAATTTTTTTATAACTTAAAAAGTTATAAAAAAATAAAACTTTTTAAAACAGTGTATATACGTGTAGAAACGGGATAGCAGCATACACTAACCCCTAAGATCGAGCGAAATGGAAAGACTAACTCGCAAACATATTTATGCTTCGTGCGTCACACAAACAAAAAAAAAACGCACCCACGCTAATTAAATGCAAGTTTTCGAGCTTTTGTGTTGGTGTACACACAAAAGTTAGGGATGAGACATTAAAAGAGTGAACGATATTGGAATGAACAGTTCTTGATGAATGAACATACTATTTGTTTATAATGAGATCAAAAAGTTTCATTTATATTCATATCTATCTGAAAGCTTATTCATAGTTGTAGTACTTTTGATTTTTATGCACAAAATCCAAAGATTAAAAATCTTCACAAATTATTTTGCTGTGTAAGAAATCTTTTTTATCGGATATCCTGTCTACATTTAATTTCTTTTATAACCTTAATAATAGCAAACGCATTATTTTGTCACAAAACACTGCGTAACTGACCCAAGCCT